CTTTCTGGTCCCCCTCAAGCCTCATTCCTAGCTTCTATACGTGTCGTTTCCTTAGTCACTTATAGTTTATTTATTCTATTTCTAATAGCTGTACGGGGTCAGGGGTGGTGATATTCCTAGAGCTTAGCAGAGTACATGGCATGGGGTAGGTATTCTATAACTATTTGCTGAGTGAATGAGCGAGGGAGGGAGGGGTGATGAATGTGCCACGTCTTTGTCATCCTAGGTATAGAGAACAGAGAACGATGAAATTATAGATGCAGGTTGAACCCAGATCGCGGAAGGCCATAATAGAATTCTGTAGTAGGTCATGATCAGTTAAGTGCTTTTACCCAGGAGACTAATGTCGTTTGGTCTATGTTTCAGAAAGATTGATCTGACAAAAATATAGTAGGTCTGAGAGTAGTAGAATACGAGCCTTAGGAGACCAGTAATAGTATTGGGTGGAGAGGGCTGAAACTCTGGGGAATGTTCTGGATAAAGGGGAGTGTTGATTAAAAACTTTGATAAACTAAAGCAGGTAGACAAGAGGGAAAAAAATTGTTTTTCTAGAGGCTAGTTCATTCAAAATAAGCGTTTTAAGAAGGTTATTGGAGAAATGGCATAAAGAAAATTTCAAAGACATAGCTGGGTATAATCCAGAATCATTTCAGCACTTCTGTTCTGTACAGCTGCAGTCCCTGCCTCCCGGGCCATGGAATAGTACAGGTCTGTGGACCACTAGGGCCCAGGCCTCACGCAGTAGGTGAGTAGCAGGTTTCACCTGTGTTTACAGCTGCTCCCATTGCTGGCATCACCACCTGAGCTCTGCCTCCATTAAATGCACCCTGAATACATCCCCAAGACTCAGACCTCCACAGAGGTCCTCCCAGAGTGGAGGAAAAAGCAAGGACCCCTGCCCAAGGGAAAGGAGGCCTGATCAGAGATGGCTGATACCCTGCTGCTCCCCCAGAGCCAGTGACTGTAGGGAGAAGAGATGGAGCCTGATCCAGCATGTTTTTAGATGGAAGTGGAGTCCTGACATGATGGGGGCAGGAAGGGGCTGCAGGCTTAACTTACTCATCATCTCTGAGCTCACTTGCTTCTTCTTGCCTTCACTTTCCATCCCCTGAGAGCAGGGCCACCATGCTGGTGGTGCCCACCTTGGGTCCACAAAGGTCACCCATATCCTCTGAGGGTATTGTGGGTGGGGAGAGAGGAATCTTCGTGTTACATCGTCTTTGTCACAACATCATCACTACAATGCAGCGGCTTCTAAGACACTTTCCTGTGAGTTCAGAAATTTTCAGAGTCTCTGATTAGAGAGATAGACTCTAGAAAAACTTCCATGCACATCTTTACTCCCAATTTTGTTAATACTTACAAATTACAGGATGCAC